CAGCATCATCGTCGTCATCGTCGTCGGCAGCACCATCAGAATCATTATCATCATCATCATCATCATCATCATCAGCATCATCATCGTCATCAGCATCATCATCACAATTAGAATCAGCATCATCAGCAGCATCAGCAGAATCATCATCGGCATCATCATCAGCATCACATCATCATCAGCATCAGCATCAGCATCGTCAGCGACATCATCGTCGTCGTCATCGTCAGTATTATCAGCATCGTCATCAGCATCGTCCTCAGTAGCATCATCATCAACATCATCGTCGACAACATCAGCATCACCATCATCATCCTCATCAGCGTCATCATCACCGTCGTCATAATCGTCATCACTACCACTACCACCCTTATCATCGAGGGCGCGCCGCTGGATGACCCCAAGGGGGGAGGGGTTGGGAACCCCCCCTTTCCTCGATCCGTCGTCGGGGAACCCCCCCCCCTCCCCCCCTTTCCCGATCCGTCGTCGGGAAGGCCCCCCCCCCTCCTTTCCCGGTCCGTCGTCGGGGAACCCCCCGCTCCCCTCCCCACCTTTCAAAAAAGGGGGGGGGGTCCGAACCCCCCCCCCCTCCCCCCTTTGGCCGCCAAATTCGAAACCTCCCCCACCTCCCCCCCCCCTTCCGCCACGGCGCCCCCGGTCTCCGGAACCCGACCCCTACCACTCCGAACACTAATCCTCACCCTTACCTAACCCCTAACCCTAACCCCAAACCCAAACCCTAGCCCCAAACAGTACTCACTACTCATTACGCATTACTCACGACCCAGAATCCACTACTCGCTACTCACTACTCACTTCTCACTACTCACTACTCACTACTCACCACTCACTACTCACTATCCACGACTCACTACCCACGACGCACTACTCACTACTCCCAACCCCCCATTCACTACTCACTACCCACTAAACACAACTCAATACCCACTACTCAGTACTCACTACTCACTAAACACAACTCACTGCCCACTACTCACTCATCACAAATCACTACCCACTATCCATTACTCACTACTCACACTTCGCTACTCACTAACCACTGCCAACAACTCACTACTCACTATCCACTACTCGCTACTCGCTACCCCCTACTCCCTACACAGTACACACTACTCACTATTCACTACTCGCTAGTGCCTACGCCCTACTCGCTACCCTATACGCACTATTCAATACGCACTACTCACTACACACTACGCTCCCACTACTCACTACTCACTACTACCTACCCCCTACTCACTACTCCCAACTCACTATTCACTACTCACTACTCACTACTCACTACTCCCAACTCACTACTTACTACTCGTTACTCCCTACTCGCTACGCACTACTCCCTACTCACTACTCACTAGCGACTCCTGAGTACTCCCTCCTCATTACTCACTACACCCAACGCCCTACTCGCTACTCACTACTCACTAATCGCTCCTCCGTACTCGCTACTCCTTACTCGCTACTCGCTACTCGCTACCCACCACTCACTACTCACTACTCTCTACTCACTGCGCACTACTCACTACTCACTACTCACTCCTCGCTATTCGCTACTGGCTACTCCCTCATCCCTACTCCCTGCTTACTACTCACTTAGCACTACTGACTCCTCCCTCCTTACTACTCACAATTCCTTACTCACTACATCCTTCCCACTAGTCATTACCCACTACTCACTACTCACTACTCACTAATCTCTACGCGCTACTCACTACTACCACTACCCATTACCGACTACTCACTACTCACAACTCACGACTCACTGCGCACTACTCACTATCAAATACCTATCGCAACTCAAAACACTCTACTCCCTACTCACTACCCAGAAGCCCCCTCCCCAGCCCCCTGTTCGGCGCAAGGGGGGGAGGAGGGGGGGGGGGTTCGAACCCCCCCCCTTTCCAGCGCCAAGGGGGGGAGGGGGGGGGGTCCGGAACCCCCCCCCCCTTCAATGCGAAGGGGGGGGGGGACCCCCCCCCCCCCCTTAAGGGGGGAAGGGGGGGGGGTCGAAAATCTCACTCCCCCTTTGAAGGGGGGGGGGGGGGGGGGTTCTGCGAGCATACCCCCCGTTTTGCGTATTCAGGGCCATCCACTGGCGCGCTTTCCTTATCATCATCAGCATCACAAGCACCACCATCATCATCATCAACATCATCATCACCACCACCACCATCATCATCATCATCACCTGAGAGAGAGCGCGCCCACAGCGCCAGACCAAAGGGGAGGGGGCCCCCCTTAGCTACCCACCCCCTCCCTTCCACCTTCCCTGCTGGAAGCTCCCCCCCTCCTCCCCCCGTTTTTCGCCTCCCCCTGAAGCTACTCCCCCATCTCCCCCATTTCGCCACTCCGAAGCTACCTCCCCCCTCCCCCCTTTCCAAAGGGAGGGGGGGCTTAGCTACCCCCCCCTCCCCTTGACCCCCCTCTGCCAGAAGCTACCCCCCTCCCCCCTTTCGGCACCCGGGAAGCTACCCCCCCCCTCTCC